TTCTTTCTTTTATTAATCTCCAAGAGGGGCCTTGAGAAATCTTCAAAATGTGTCTCAATTCAATGTATTCTCCAAAGGATGCCTCCTTTCACAAGTCTTCTAACCATATTTTTGTTTCTAGTGGTCATAACCACCCTCTCTAGCCAATAGGTGCTTCAAATATCCCTTCAAAATTCGACAAAATGAAGTAAACCGTCACATAACTGCCTCTAGTGTTAAGCGCAGGGCCTCTGGCACTTAGAAACAGCCTTTCTATTTCACCGGCGCGTAAGCGTTGGATCTGACGCTTAGGCGCCAAAACACTTTTGCACCATTTTCACATTTTTGCTTCAAATTTGATCATTTTTCACTCTTTTTAGCATTTTTCACCTTTTTACTTATACCTGAAAGAAAAACACACAAATATCATCCATTAAAGTGCAATATCTTAAAAAATAGTTATAAAAATGTGTCTAAAAATACTATATATTTTAGGTATCACCTATGTCATAAGATGTTGGGACATATAAATGAAAAATGATTCACCTTCAAGGATTTACTCAAAAGGAACCTAAGGATAGGGCCATTGTTCCATAAGGAATACATGTAGAAACTGAAACAAGGGTTAGTCAATGTTTTCATTGGTCAAGACATGGAATCACTTGACCTCAATGTAGAATAAGAAGGTTGGAATAGCATTTTCTCTGAGGCCCTCCAGAAGATCATCAACCAACTCTAAAAATTCTCTACATAAACTCTTGAAAGAACTCAAAAAACCTGCTAAACCTAATACTTATGTAGTTCTTGAAGAGAAGAAAAAAGTCAAACTAGTAGTAAACTTAGTAAAGCTTGATGTAATAACCAAAAGAGAAATAATCTATAAGGGACAATTAAGATTGTTCAAAATAATCACGTTAGTTTGGATTCTGAGATATACCATTTATTATCAGCTATAACACAAATCTTAATCTTCTAGGTATTTTTATAGTATTATGTTATTAAAGGCCCTAATTAGCTAATAAAATGATAATTTAAATACAAAATGAATTTCTATCTAAAACATAAAGCACGGTTGTAGGATAGTCCAAGGCATCACTAATCCACTCAGAATTTGAATTTACTTACTCCTTTAATTTTTTATAATAATTGTTCCAGCATTTGATTTTATCTCAAAATTTTTAAAGCCCTAAACTTTGAAATAAATAGAAACATGAGATCTATTATTTAAATCAAGAGTTTTCTTAAGAGAACATTGTTTATGATCTAATTAACTAAAAGGACTTACTTTTATAGTGAATGCATGCCCCGTAATAAAATAAATATTATCTTACCCAATTGATAATGGGCAATTTTATATAACACATAGTCCTCACAAATTTTAAACAAGTTTATTTTGGTGTTTAAGTATGCAATGAAGAATGATCTTATAACTTGAATGATAGAAATTTTAAAATATTTATTTAGTGATAAAAATAATTATAGAATACTATTTCTATCATTCAAGGTATAAGATCATTCTTAATTACATACTTAAACACCAAAATAAACTTGTTTAAAATTTGTGAGGACGATGTGTTATATACCCCACAACTACTTCTGTTAAGTTATAATCTTTATTAAATATTAATAAATATTTGTAAATTATATACTAATGTGTAGTGATATGTAGGTAAATAATACTCTTTTAGATATTTATTAGTCAAGCTGGCTAGCCCATAAAGTGACGATTCTACAAAAATTCATTATGTTTTCTTAGCTTGTTGTTAACATTCTGAGTTACATGGTGTCTAACAAAAGTGACTTTATATGTTTGTGTGTGTGGGTGTGTGTGTGTGTGTGTGTGTGTGTGTGTGTGTAAAAGCTAAACTATAATTAAAATAATAAAATGATTGTTATGTATTAGTAAGACTTGATATTGAATTAGATGTGGTTGTAGAGTGAAATATAACATTGATTGGCATTGATTGTAATTTATTAAACGATCGAGCATAGTTATTACCATATTAACTATTAATCTAGAGCATGCATCATATGACATTTAGATATTATATTACTATTGAAATCTAATGATTCTAGATACTATCCACTTCTAGTAGTACATAGTAAATCATCTCCTACTTATTGTTCATTTTACATCCTCAATACCTTATCATCTATGACTTAATAAATAGTGATTATTTAGTGCGTTTGATTTATCAAATTCATTTATTGATATTTTCTTATAACATATTTTAATGTGTCTATTGGTGGACCATCACTTCAAAAACATATTTATTATCATTAGATTATATTTGTGTTATTCTTAAGCTTATGATGTTTTTTTATCAAACGTTATTTTGTTTGATTATGATTGTGACAATTTCATGAAAAGAAGATTATCTTTTCTTACCTAGTTTTATTATTTGTTTTGTCTATATACATAATATTATTATTATTATTATTATTATTATTATTATTATTATTCTTAGTAAATGTTATAGAACACATTCATTAATATATATATATATTACAAACCCCATGTTTTCAGATATATTGCCTTTTAGATCCGGCATGTGGCACCAAATGGCTTGCCAACCTAATGCAAATAATAATAAAATTTTAATTTTTGCCAATGAGTTCGAATGCGGGTGTCAGGGTGCCAAAAAGTTAACCCGACAAACCAACACGACTTGAAATAGACTCGAATAATTTGGGTTAGGGTTAAACCAAATATTTTGCAGGTCAGGTTCGATTCTCAGAATTCGACACCTAGAAATTTCAGGTCGGGTTTGAGTTGAACCCGAAAACCTGAACACGAACTGAATAGTCACGAATAAATTGGTTCTACTCTTAATTCTTATGTCATCAATTGTTATAAATAATAAACAATCTTTTTTTAATCTGTTTATTGTTACTAATTAAATATTAGACTTATAATTTTTAATAAAAGATTGAGCTGACAGGTTAAACGGGTCGGGTTCAGGTTAATGGTGTCTAGATCATGTAGGATTTGGGTTATTCAGGTTGGATTCGAATTAACCCGATCCGGTCAGTCCATTTTCGAGTCAGACCTTTAACCCTAACTCAGTTTGACATTCCTAGTGAGCCACAAAAAAAAAAAAAAAAAAAAAAAAAAAAAAAAAAAAAAAAAAAAAAAGAGAGTATAGTAGCGCATTCACTACCAACCGACCGGTAAAAACCGAAAATTCCAGTGGCATTTCGGTATATTCACTAGTGTTTTCCCGGTGTTGACCTTCGACCCAGCCCGCTCGCCAAGAGAGACTCAGTTCTTCGTCTTCGTCCAAAATTTTTCCCCTTTTTTTTTCACTTTTGTTCAGATTAGAATCTCGCCTATAAATCAATTCCCACCCCCCACCGTCTCCTTGCATAGCTTCTATCGCCGCGGCGTCGTGTTGCTCAGGCAAGGTGAGCTCCCAGCATCCTCATTTCTCTTCGAAACTCTCAAATCTGTCAGAATCGTTTTCAGATTTCGGAATATCAGATAAACTGTTGCAAAATTTGGTTCCCATATCAATATTCCTTCTTTAACTGTATTCACGTTTTGGGGGAATTTATGTCTGTTTTCTTTTTTTGATGTGCGAGGCAGGAGAGGAGCTTATTCGGCCGGTACATTGAGATAACTCTTGCGAGGTCTTTTACTTCACTTGAGAATCTGATGGCGTCTAGTGCGATGCTCGTAACGACGGCAGCGTTGGATTGGGTTTCGGCGGCGTTCGATGCACCTCTTGCGAGGGCAGTTGTTTTTGGGATACATATTGATGGTAGGTTTTCCTGTTTTCGCATTCCGATTTAAAGGGGTTTTGCGATTTGAAGCTGCCATGTCATGGATCTGTTAAGTTTGCGTTTTGTTTACTTAATTTCGCTTTAGATTTGTTTCAGAGAGTAAAAAAATATGAACATGAAACAGATTTGGTTTGCTTCCTTTTTTTACTGTAAAATAAGGTTCCAACAAGCAAAACTGAGATTTAGAAAGATATCAGTTTTTTGAATAGTTTGTTCAGTTTACTTTTGTGTATTCAGAATGCTCTATTGAATTTGTTTTTTTGTGGTTGAAGGTCACCTGGTTGTTGAAGTGCTTCTAATAGCTGTCATCTTGTTCCAACTTTCTCGAAAGAGCTACAAGCCTCCAAAGAAGCCGCTGACAGAGAAGGTGAATTCTGCTCTTAGCTATTTGTACTTGGTTTTATCCCCTTTGGTTTTTATTTGCTTGTGATTCTGGTTTTGACATAGATTCCCTTGTTTCTTTGCCTATTACGTTTGATGAGATGACAACCTTGACTAAAAATTTGGTTGAGATGATTCTGGTTATTTGAATGCTTATAAAATTTTTGAATTTTATGCAGGAAATTGATGATCTTTGTGATGATTGGGTTCCTGAGCCATTGTGTCCCCCAATTTCTGAAGAGAAGCAAATTCAAACTCCTACTTTGGAAAGGTAAGAATTTTTAATCTTGTCTGTTAAGGCGTGACACCTTTTTCTTATTGCTATTGAGTTCAGAGTGTGCCTAACATGATTGCTTGCTAGTAGCACCTGCTTTGAAAGCCATACAGTTAGCTTTCCGTTATTATTGATTGTGATGAATTAAGTTGACTTGCACTGTATGGAAATTGTCTTTTTTGCTTTTCTTTGTTTTTCCAAGCAAACATGCACATTTTATTTACCTACTTCTGTGCATTTCTAAATTCTTAATAATACATGCAGTATTTTGCATTTACATGGTGAAAACCAAGAGATTATTTCTATCTGACTGCTTAGAATGGCAATTGTGCATTTACTATCTGACTGCTTAGAATGGCATAATTGTGCATTTAAATGCATTAAGATTTACTATTTGAATTCATCACTGGGCATTGATGCTTATCATTGCTCATAAAGACTGCTTTGTAATTTATTGCAGTGTAGTTAGGCTTATTAGCAAATTATTCGGCAGCTAATCACTTGTTCCCTTCACACAGTGCTGCTACACCTCATACAATTGTGGATGGAAAGGAAGTTGTGAACTTTGCATCTGCAAATTATCTTGGATTGATTGGAAATGAGAAAATAATCGTAAGAACAGCCTTTCCTCATATAACAATTTGTTTAGAAAAAATATTTTCTTAATCTTAGTACATGCATCTGATTGAGATGATAATACACATTTCCCCCAGGATTCATGCATTGGTTCACTCGAGAAATATGGTGTTGGTTCCTGCGGTCCTCGTGGTTTTTATGGGACGATAGGTATGCTTTTATGCACTCCTTCAAAATTTCAAATTATTTACTAGTTACTATTTCTGTTATCATATATCCTAATTCAGAGAAGTTCTGTAAAGAACCCAAAACTTTAGTAATAAACTATTTCCTCTACAGATGTCCATCTTGATTGTGAGAAAAAAATTGCAAATTTCTTGGGAACTCCAGACTCAATTCTTTACTCTTATGGAATATCAACTATTTTCAGTGTTATACCAGCCTTTTGTAAGAAAGGAGACATCATTGTCGCGTAAGTTTACTTTGATTTCTTTTTTACTTTTCTTCCCTCCTTCATAATATTCCTGTTCCTGCTATACATGATGATATATCTTATATTTAAATTTCTTTTTTGATTCTAATTTATTAGAATTAAATGAAAACATGACACTCAATAGGCATTATGGAGAAAAATGATTCAGGTAGCCGACCCCACTTAGTGGGATGAAGGCTTGTTGTTGTTGTTGTTGTTGTTGTTGATGATGATGATGTTGCTGTATGTAACAGACCTGATTTTTAAATTCGTAATTTCACATACATTTTGAGTCATTTGATTATAATTAATACTTTGGATCAGCATTTGTGATCTACGCTAAGCTCATGTTACTTTCTTTATCATTGCAGTGATGAGGGTGTCCACTGGGGTGTCCAAAATGGGCTATATCTCTCTAGGAGCACTGTTGTTTATTTCAAACACAATGATATGGCTTCGCTAGAAAGCACTTTAGAGAAACTAACTCGTGGAAATAAACGGGCAGAAAAATTGCGGCGCTATATTGTAGCAGAAGCTGTATACCAGGTATGTTTGGATCCTTTTCATTCTTTTTTTTAATTGGGCATCAAATTTCGTCTCTTTATGTATTTGGTGATGCTAGTTTTTTTTTTTTTTACCCTTCTGTATTATTTCCTTTTTTTTTCTCCACCGGAAAGCTTATATGGTAGGAGTTTATTATTATACAAATGAGGATCAAACCCAAGACCTTGGCAAAAAGTTCCAGTGCCCTAACTAACCGGACTAGTTAGTACTCACTTTAGTGATGCTACCTTGAAGCATGGTCTTTCCTAGGTTAGTAATAGATATATATTAAATTAAAAAACAAGAAATGATTGCTAACATTGGTCTAGTTTGCTGAATTTCTTCTCAAGCAATGAACTGTATCTTATTTCAAATGGACTTTCTTTTCTAAATACAGAACGATGATTTAATTGACATTTACCATTCAATCAATGTCTGACCATTTGTTTCAGTGTTAGAGAATGTGGTATGCTGATTCCCACCATAAAAGAACTATCAAATTTCAATAGAGCAGGTTATGAAACTAAGATGTTCAACTTTGCTTGATGTTGAAGCCAACGTTAAGAGTATATTATATGGAATACAAAATTTATATTGTTATTGTATTTGGCTTTTATTGCAGCATTCCTGTACTTGTTGACATATTTGAGAACATCACTCTATACACCATACTCTGGTATTGCTTTGACTTATTACTAGGGTTGTCACAAAAACTTGTCGTTCACAAACAACTCATTTTTGGCTCACTAAGTTACTTGTGTTCGATTTGTTCGTTAACTAAGTGATTCGAAAACGAATAATTTTCTTGAGCTCGGTTTATAAACAGACCGAACATTAACAAACTTTTTTTTATCGTATTTAGCTCATTTTGACTCAAATTAATTAATAGTTAAATAAATAGTATTATTATAATACTTTTATATCAATTTTCTATGTTGTATTTTAAAATTAATATTTTTTTTTCAAAAATCATTCGAGTTAATTTTGAGCCGAACTAACAAATTTGAATCAAGCAATATGCTATTCATGAGCCATTTCGAATGTAGACCTATTTCAAATAAAGAAATTTAGAACGAGCCGAACATGAATAAACACTGGGCTCGCGCAAGCTCTTAACTCATTTACACCCCTACTTATTACAGAGTATATCACTATTTTTGTATGGTGCATTTCATGTTAGTGAATTGAAACTAGTTTTCACATTTTGTTGTTCTCTGTCCAGGAAATTGCATCATTTTGACAAACTCTTAACTACCATCATAGAGGAAAATAAGATTTTCTGCATGTTTATCTCTTACTCTCTATATATATCGCTATGTTGCCTGTCCATTAGAATAAATCAGTCGCTTGAACCAATACATGTATATTTAGAAATGATTTGGAATGCCAATTTTTATATAAATAGTTAGACTGACTTCCCTCACCGATATCTGATACCACAATTATGCTACCATTGAAGTTGCTAATATAGTTAATTTATAGGTGCATCATTTGGCATTTATCTGAGTTTATTCCTGCTCCAAATAAATTAACTTAATATTCCCTTTTAATTTCTCTGAGAATAAAGTTTTTTTATTGCCTTTCAATTGAAATTTTATTTTAAAATTTTATTTTCAAATAAATGCAGAATTCTGGCCAAGTAGCCCCATTGGATGAAATCATTAGATTGAAAGAGAAATACCGTTTCCGTGTTATCTTAGATGAAAGCCATTCATTTGGTGTACTTGGGAACTCCGGCCGTGGCCTAGCTGAGTATTGTGGGGTCCCGGTATGTCATGCTTTTCTGCCTTTTCTTTTTTGCATCCAACCTATTTCCTTATGTTCCAAAAAAGAAATCAAAAAAGAAAAAAAAAACACTTTCTTTATGTTCCTGAGAAGAGATTCCTATTTAGATCGAGAAAATTGATATCATAACTGCTGGAATGGGAAATGCACTAGCAACGGATGGAGGATTTTGTACTGGAAGTGTCAGAGTTGTCGATCACCAAGTAAGAATTGTGCAGCGGATTTTTGGCAAAGAACTTAACTTATTGACAATTTGTTATTTATGCTTTATTTCATTTCATTTCTGATGATTGAGTGGAATCTTTTCTTGCAGCGTCTCAGTAGCTCAGGATATGTCTTCTCTGCATCGCAGCCTCCCTACCTCGCAACTGCTGCAATTTCTGCAGTTGATTACTTGGAAGAAAACCCATCTGTTCTTGCAACACTGAAGAACAATATTGCTTTGCTAAGAAAAGGTATTTTTTTGTTAGATATCACTAGTCTTATGTGTTTGTGTCGTTTATATATTTAGCATTAACCTTATAAGATAGGCTTTTATTAAACATTTATTGTCTAGACAATAAATGTCATTTATTAAACATTTATTAAAAAATTTCATCTACTTTTTGAGACTATTATTTCAGAAATAAAAAAAAAACTGAGATTCTTGTCAGATAGGTTGTATGAGTAACTGAAATACTGGGCACTCTCAAATTATGTTATCTCAGAAACATCTTGCTCTAATTAAGTGATCAATAAGACACTTTGTTACATTTTTTTGTCCCATGCTGTTTAAATTGTGAACCAGATAATGAGTGATGCTATATATTAGATTTTTTTTATCCTCTTATAGTTTATACAACAACAACAACAACAAAGCCTTAATCCCACTATGTGGGGTCGGCTACATGAATCCTCTTATAGTTTATGCAGATGCAAAAATCAACAAGTGTGCAATTCTTCTATAAAAAAATCAATGCTTTTAATTTTTAGAATGGGCTTTTTAATCATCACATCTGTTGTAGACTTGAAGGGTGTTTGGTATCACTTTTATTTTTTATTTTTTATGTTTTAGTTTTTTGTTTTGTTTATATTTTGATTTGAAACAAAACATGTTTACCTATTTGATTAAAATATAATTATCTTTAAAAAGAAAAAAATAATAAAAAGTAAAAGATACATTAAATAAACATATTTTTAGAAAGAAGCGAAAAAATAATGACAAAACAAAAAAACAAAATTGATCCCAAACAAGTCCTTGGTGTTTGCGAAGATTGGAATTAGAAAGTTTGAAGTTGAATAACCTTTGTCAATAGTTGGGAGATCTGTTGCAAGTTATGAGCTAGTTGGTTTTCAATTTTTTGTTTTACTCAACTGCCATATAAATTCTGCATCATCGTATAAGGAAAACTTTGTTTATTGTGAATTGCTTTGATTTGGACTCATCTTTGAATTATTCAGTTTGATCAGAGGAGCATCCTTTTATGTTTTTTATCAAAAGATTATCATTTACTATTGTTTCAGCCTTCATATAACTTCTAATTGTCACATTGAATCAAGTGCAGGCTTAACTGACGTAGCAGGACTTGAACTTTCAAGCAGTCCACTGTCACCTATTGTCTTTCTTAAACTGAAGAAATCTACAGGATCCCAGGACAAGGATTTGCATGTTCTTGATCAGATTGTCAGCAGGGTGAGTACAGAATTACTTTCTCATCTCATTTAGTTGCTTCAAGGTGGGAATCATGTTTTCAGAAAAATGTAAAGTTAAGATTTACATACATACCACTCCATTCTTATGTATCTACATATCTAACCCACCCCTAAACTTCAATTCTTACATATATGCCACTATGCCTATACATGAAAAGGTGCAGTTCAGGTATTAGATATGCAAATATATAAGAACTGGTTGGTATGTATGTAAATACCCCCATAATAAAAAAGATAATTGAATGATACATTAGATTCTTCATATCATTGGATTTAAACTTCTTGCATCTTTGCAGATCCTTCATGAAGATTCAGTTTTCCTTGTGACATCGAAGAGGTCTACTCTTGACAAATGCCGACTTCCGGTCGGAATCCGCCTATTTGTTTCGGCAGGCCATTCTGAATCTGATATTTTGAAGGCTGTTGATTCCCTGAAGAGAGTTGCAGCGCTGGAGCTGGCATAGAATAGATTAGAAGTCTCTTCAAAGGGAAGGATCCAGCTTCAGTCAACTCAGCTGTTTGATTCACTTCACATACATAAATATTTGCTTATTTTTTTGCTTTAGGTTTGAAAATAGGCACCTTTTGTTCTCTGCAAGCTGTCTTAAACTTATTCAAGGAGCTGGGTATGGCTTGTGGTTTGGTATTGTAGAGATGTTATATCTGTTTCAGGTGTACACTATTAATTAGAATCAACTGTCAATTGCCTTACCCTATCTCTCTCCTAATAAAATTCTTATGATATTCCTTGATGCAGTTTTAAATACTGCTAATTTTAAAATAAATATCAGTATCTGATACAAATATATTAGAAGTCTCTTCAATGATATTCTAAGTTTATTATGATATTATCTTTTTTTTCTGACCCCTTTTGTTCAATACATTTTTTTTCACTTTGCTGTTTATTTGTAGATTATATTCCTTTACTATAACTTTATATTTTTTATTTTATATGTTTGAATCTCACTGCTGCATGTATGTTTGAGTTATTTGACTTTATAAGCCCAATGATACATTTATTAAATCATTTACTATAGTTTCAGCCTTTATATAACTTCTAATTGTCACATTGAATCAAGTGTTCAGCTCGTTAAGAAGCTCGTGTTCGATTGTTAACTAAATTAACGAGCTGAACTCAGACAAATGTTTTTGTGCTCGATATATAAACCTACTGAACACAAGCAAAGATTTGTTTGTTTGTGTTCAACTTGTTTTGGTTCGAAATAATTAAATTATATAAATATATAAAATTGATGAGTACTATTTTTAAAAAATTGAATTGATTATAAGGTTACAAAAATTTATAATCAATTAAAATTATTAATTTAAAAAGTAGAATAAAGTATATGAAATTATATTTAAATGATGTTTTAATATAAATAATAAGATGTAAATTTTGTCACATTCTCTTAACATCTTACGGTTGCATGACTAAAGTTGTCAAAATGACTCTTTGTTCGCGAACAACACGTATTCGGCTCGATCGAACGCTCATTTTTTTTCGAAATATAAATGAGTTGAACATGAATATTGTTATTTTTTAACGAGCCGAACACGAGTTCAATCTGGGCTCGCTTGTGTTTGACTCATTTACACCCAATGTGAATTCAGGATGAAGTAGACATTGACGGGAATGGTCGCACAAGAGAACTTTGCATTCAACTACTCAAGTTGAGAATGGCAACCACAAGATGAATTGGTTTGAATGCATTTTCCGTTTAAACAACTCAAATCTAGATATGACTAGGTCTAGGGCTGTCAATTTGGCTCGTTGTTCGTGAACAGCTCGTGTTCGGCTCGTTAAGTTGCTCGTGTTCGGCTCATTCGTTAAGCCTAATGAGCCGAACACGAACAAATTTTTAAGCTCTAACTTTTTATATAACAATATATTACATATATTATTTATATAATAATATATTATATATATTTATGTCTAAGTTTAAATCATTCATAACACCTCATGTGGCAATGTGGTTAGTGTTTTCTTTTGTATAGATATGATCCAGGTTCAAATCCCACACTTTACATATATTTTTCTCAATTTTAGTATAACGAGCCAATTTCGAGCAGAACAGGAGCCGAATACGAACACGAATATTTAAATCGAGCTAAACACGAACACACTGTTCACGAGTCGATTTCGAACACGAGCTATCTTGCTCAAGCCCCGAGCCGAACACGAGCCAAGCCTGAGTTCGCTCAAGCTCGGCTCGTTTACAGCCCTAACTAGGTCAAATTTATTTGAACCGATTTTAGAGGTCTTAGATTACAATAATCTGTCAGTACTCGAAGTAATCATTGAATCCAAATTAAAATCTTTTTTTTTTTAATTTGATTTAAATTTTGGACATTTATTTAAAAATATACATAATGAGGTAATTTTACAAAGCAATGTAGTGTGGGATGCTGGGAATGGCTGAACAACTAAGGTGCAAGTAAATTTTGTTATCATGTCCGGGCTAATAATGCGATCGTGTAAAGCAGTATCAGAAGTGGGAGTTCTCTACATGAATTCTTTTTCTCCATTGCATCCCATTTAGTGTCATATTTTCAATTAATTCTAATAAATTAAGATCATTTCTTATACAATATGCTCAAGTCTTCCTAGGCCTAGGTCTACCTCAAGTCTTCCTAGGTCTACCTCTGCCTTTCTTAGCATAAGTCGAATCTAAAACATCTATCTACTATTCTTATCAGATCATCAGATGATCGACATTTAATATGACCAAATCATTTAAGACGATTCTCTCTAATTTTGTTTGTCACTGGAGCTCCACCAACTCTATAACGAATATATTCATTTCGCATTTTGTCTCTAAGCAGGATGCACTGGAGCAACCAACCCTAGTGCTTGAAATTTTTTTTATTGGAATTTTAAGTGAGATTCTTTGGGCAGTAAATTCAAGATGGGAGATGATCTCTTAATTATGATTGAAATCATTTTGTAGAATTTTCTGCATGATGATAGAGTTGAATTTGAAAGCTTTTCATGACCTGGAATTGAAGAGGTCATATCCACTGAGAAGATAGGCAATGCTTTTTTCAGTGATTTGCCTTTCATTCATTTCGATGTCTGATTGAATGCTTGTTACTGAAAAAATAAAGAGAAATTTCTTCATAATATTCTAATTAAAAATTGCTTTTTTTTTATTAGTCTATTAAAAATTTTGAAATTGTATTTTTTTTGGGTAAAGAAAAATACTTATAATTCCTTCTCAATTTCATAGGAAGCTATTACGGATAAATATAGGGGGGAAGACTTCCACATTTGAAAAATAATAAAATCAGTCATAACTCTCTATGGTAAAATAAGAAAACATAAATTATAACATACCAACAATATTTAGCTCTAAAAATAGAAAATAGTAGAAATGGAAGACACTAAAATTAAGATCTTCTTAAGATTCCAACACCCCTCCCCCACTTAAGGTGGAATATAAATATCTATCATGCACAACTTGCTTACAAGAAGCTCAAAACTAGGCATTAACATTCCTTTGGTGAAGATATATATCATGCAATAGAGATAAACGACATGCAAATAGCTCCATAATTAATTTTCTCTTTTGTGCCAAATTAATTTGTGTGATCATGTCGTACTGGATTTTATGTGATGATTATGGCTTCTTTATTGTCATAGCATAACTTATTGGCATGCTTATCAAAATATGCAACTCTTCAAGAATTATTTTCAACCAGAACATCTCATATATTCCATTTTTCATAGCCCTATATTTGCAACCACATTGAATCTTTGACTCTGCCAGGTAAATTGATTTCCCGAAACATATGTACGGTATGCGAACGTTGATCTCTTCTCAATAATTGAGCTCGCTCAATCTACATTAGTGTATGCATTTATGTTCTATTGTGTGATCTTATGTAAGAGTAAGCTCTTCCTGGTGTACTTTTGAGATATCTAAGACTCTTATGAGATGCTTCAAGGTGTTTCTCATAGGTCAAATGCATGAATTGACTTACGAAACTCACTACAAAGGAAATATCTAGTCGTGCATGTGATAAGTATATCAGCTTTCTCACTCCTAATTATATTGCTTTGATCACCTTCCTCGCATTTCTCAGTTTCTGATTGGGATGAATTGAAGTGTTTGCAAGTATGCACCCACTCATCCCAGTTTTCTTGAGAAGATCATGAATATAGTTTTGTTGTGAGACAACAATCTCTTTCTTTGATCAAGCAACATTCATGCCAAGAAAACATCTCAAAGATTCTAAGTCCTTAGTATCAAAAATCGTGGAAATACAAGTCTCTAAACAGCTCACCTCATATATGTCATCTCTGGTGAGAATTATATCGTCAACATACACAATCAATATGACCATTTTCCCATATTTTGAATGTCGAAAAAATATTTTATGATATTCTTGCCCTTGAGAATACCCCTGACATTTAACAAATCTAGTAAATTTCTCAAACTATGTTCTTAATGACACTTCAAACTTCTCAATAAGGGTCTGTTTGGGGCGGCTGCAGATTATTTATAATATGTTGATAAGCAGATTATCCTGATAATCTGATAATCTGCAGATTAGCAGGATAAACTGCTTGTTGTTTGGGGGAGCTTATTCAGATTAGCTTATTTGCAGTTGTTGATGAATAAATGACCATTCTGGCACTGTTTAGTCATGTTGTTTACAACAGAACTATATAGACAAAATAATAAATAAAACATAGGCCGCAAACCATTACAAATCAGTTCAAAAAAATAACATTGACTGTTCACTCTCCAGTGAGTATCAAAAGATATAAAATAAATATAAATATAATTAGATGGTCTTTCATAAAGCAAGCTTCAAAAATTCATCAACCTTCCACTAAAAAACCCACTAACATAAAGCAAAAAGAGACCATCAACCTTCATAAAGCAAGCTTCCAAAATCTAAACCTTCATAAAGCAAAAAGGACCATCTCACTAAAAAAATCACAATTCTTCCACTTCAAAAACCCACTAACATCCACATCACAAAAACTATAATTGAAATTTTTTATCTGATGCATTTAACTGCATTCAACCACCCACCCCAAATTGGATTCAACCAATAATTTTTCACTGCATTTAACTGCATTCACTTCAAATAACATCTACTTCAAAAAAATGCATTCACTAACAACCAATTCAAATAATTGCATTCGACCAATAATTTTTCAATGCACATTTCTCAAAGTAGATAGTAGGGTTAACAAAAATCCAATATGAACAAGGCATACAAAAGGAAATAGCTTTTCCACAATGTAATCATGCATGTTATGGAGTGTTTCAAAGAAATTTTAATCTAACTGAGAAAGTTCAGCACTTTTATCCATGAACCAAAACCAATAATCACTAAAACAAATTTCGCAGAGAAAGAAAAAAAACTCGTGCAATACCATAGGTCATAAGAGGATAACAAACATTGGAGGATACCATGTAATCTATACATGGAAGAAGACCCATGCAATACCATAAGTCGTAAGAGGGATTATCTGCGAAAGTTGTTTCAGGTTTCAGTTCACCACTGAAAGACACACAAAGATCTCGAAGGGAACTGTATCAGGACACAGAAGAGAAGAGAAGGGTAGATGGGATCGAGGGGCGAGAAATGGTATCGCTGCGGGAATTCGATCGCAAGGTAAGGGCAATGATGCGAGAGCGAAGACGGGATCGAGGGGCTCATGGGTAATAAGTTGCGACGAAACGTCGAATGTTGGGTCCTCTCCTTGGCCGAATTAGCTTGGCATTATAACGTAAA